GGAGAAGGCGTGGCATTTTTCCGGATTGGCTTTGATCCCCCGTTCGGTCAAGTAGTAGCCGAGGAATTTACCGGCGCAGACGCCGAAGGTGCATTTTTCCGGGTTAAAACGCATGCGACATGACCTCGCGGTCTTGAAGACCTTCTGAAGGTGCGCCGCGTGGTCGTCCTCCGCCCCGGATTTGACGATCATGTCGTCCATATACACTTCGAGCATGTCCCCGATTTCGTCGCGGAAGACACGGTTCATCATCCGCTGGTAGGTGGCCCCGGCGTTTTTGAGGCCGAAGGGCATCACGTTGTAATAGTAATTGCCCGACGCCGTCATGAAGGCCGTGGCTTGTTTATCGTGTTCGTCCATCGGGATCTGGTTGTATCCCGAGTATGCGTCCATGAAGGACAAGAGCTTGAAGCCCGCAGAGTTGTCGACGAGCTTGTCGATGTTGGGGAGGGGGTAGGCGTCCTTAGGACATGCCCGGTTGAGGTCAGTGTAGTCAACACACATGCGCCATTTTCCATTATTCTTTTTAACGAGTACAACGTTGGACAGCCAGGTTGAATACCGGGCTTCCGAAATAAAATTTGCCTCTAAGAAGTCTTTTACAGCTTGTTCGGCCGCTGCCGATTTTTTGGGGGACTGGCGACGTCGGCGTTGTACAACGGCCTTTGCGGTTGGGTTGATGGACAGCTGGTGGCAAGCGACCTCGGGGTCGAGTCCTGGCATTTCCGCGGCGCTCCAGGCGAAGAGGTCGGCATTCTCACGGAGGCAGGCTTGGAGCTGACGTTTCGCGAGGTCTGGGAGTCCTGCGCCTATTCTCACGGTTTTGCTCGTGTTTTCCCCGAGGGGAATGAGTTCGAATTCTCCATCCGGGATGGGGCGCGCTGGGTGTGAGGGCTGCCCGTTGACTTCGTCGGTCTTTGTTTTATTGTCGAGCTCGTCGGTGAAGCGACTGTCGAGCTCAACGGATCCGACCAGCTCTGTCGGTTTGTCCGTCGGCGTAGCGCTTGACGCTTTCTTTTTGGTCGATGGAGCAATGGAGTCTAGGCCTTTCAGCGCGGCTTCGAAACATCTTCGAGCGGCTTCGATGTCTCCGTTGAGGGTTACCACGGCTCCCCTTTTCGTGTAGTACTTCATCTTCAGGTGGACGGTGGAGGGTACCGCGGTGAGTTCTGCTATCGTCGTCCTGCCCAGGATGCAGTTATAGAGGAACGGGCATTCGATGACTAAGAAACGGACGCTGATGTCCCTGGCTGTTTCCTCTTCTCCGAAGGTGACTTTCAATTCCACGTATCCCCAAGGTCTCGTCGTCGTCCCGTTGAACCCCTGAAGGTCGGAGCCTACGTAGGGAGAGAGGTTGGATTCGTCGAGCTGGAGAGTTGTGAACAGATGTGAGTACATGATGTCAACCGAGCTCCCGCCGTCGACGAGGAGGCGCCTGACGTCGAAGTTTGCCATCCGGGCACGTATGAGCAAGGGTATGTTGGAATTGGGAGATCCCCCGGGTAGTTCCTCGAGGTAAAATGTGATTGGGTTGGAGCGGCCTCGGAATTTTTCGAGCGTGCTCATTCTGCCGGAGTTGTTCGCGATAAGCTCGTCGAATTTCCTTTTCACAGATCCTATGGATAGACTCCTCGTGGCCCCATCAAAGATGACCATGGCTCTGGGGAAGTATTCCCATCGGCTGGTCGGTCGGATTGGCTCGTCGACTAGGTTGGGTCCTTCGGGGATGCCGAATTCTCTGCTCGCAAACCAATCCTCGGGGCGGCTGACGCACAACGCGACCTGGAGTCTGCCGCTGTCCTCTGGCGAGGGGAGTTCCTCGATTTTCTTAGCTTCCGGAGCCTCTGGCCTGGGTGGTTCACCTCCTCGGGTGTATCGCTTCAGGTGCCCGTCTTTGATTAGGATTTCGATCGCATCTTTGAGATGGATGCAGTCTTCCGTCACATGCCCGTGGGTCCTGTGGAATCGGCAGTATTTTGACTTGTCCACGTTGGGTTTGGGCGGCGTTGGTCACGGAAAACGGACACCTCCCTGAACGAACTCGGTTTTAGCGCATTCGGCCAGTATGCGTTCGCGTGAAGTGACCAAGGCTGTGTACTCTGTGAATCTTCCTGCCGGGCCGCGTGGCTCGCGTTGTTCGCGGGGCTCGCGTTGTTCGCGGGGCTCGCGGGGGCGATCTTCCCGACGGCGGTCTCCTCCCCGTCGATGGCTCGAAGCTCCGTCGTCTCGGTGCCCGCGGGGGGCCTCTCTGTCTCGAGTGTCGCGAGCGGAGTTGGCCGCTTGTGTTTCCTCGAATCGGATGTAATGTGCGGCTCTGTCGAGGAAATCTTGGAGGGACGTGGGCCGGTGTATGCCTACGGCCTCGTAGAACTTGGAGTCGTGGCGCAGGCCTTGTTCCATTAAGTAGCGTTTCATTTCGTCGGAAGTTGTCACCTGCACGGCTTCCCGAGTAAACCTTTCGATGTATTTTCGGAGAGGTTCGTCGGGGCCTTGGATGATTGCCCCGAGGACTGCTTCCATCTTCGGGTGACGTCGGGACGCCGTAAAGTGTTTGGAGAACAGGTCCTTCAAGACCCTCCACGACGTAACTGATTCGGGCTCCAGGATTTTGTACCAGGTCATAGCGCCTTTCCTCAGAGTCGTCGGGAAGAGTCTGCACTTGATAGCTCCCCGGACGTTTCGGTAGTCGAGCATAGCCTCGATGTCTTCCAGGTGATCGTCCGGGTCGGAGGTGCCGTCGTATGTCGACAGCGTCGGTGGTTTCTCCATCCCCTGGGGTATGGGGGCAGCCATGATCTCCCGGGATAGTGGAGTGCGGTAATCATCCTCGTCGCTGTGCGCCGGGGATCTGTGGGGAGATGAGTCGTTCAAGGTGTGCCCCTGGTTTCGAGTTCTCGATCTCCTGCCCGAGTTCTCGCCTCGGGGGTCCTCGGTTGGGATCGCCGCGGTGTTCTGGTTCCTCCCGCGGACGTCTCTCGCCGGAGATCTAGTGCGTTCTCGTGTCGCCTGCGGGCAGTGTCTCTCCAGCCGCGGTCGGCGGTTTCTGGGTCGAGGTGAGGGACTCCTCGAACCTCCGTTCTGGTCTTCCCGCTGGGGGTACCTCGGAGGGCCGATGCGCTCTAATGCTCCAATTCTCGCATTTTGTTGGAACAGCAGCTGGTTCGTCTGGTTGATGGCTGTAAAGAGAGCGGCCATCGTCGGATCTGCTCCCGCCGGGATGGGAACGAGGTGGAATGCTGGCGGGCTCGGGGGGCGGTGATCGGCCTGAAGGGGCCGTTCCGCGGATGATGGTGAAGCAGTTTGCCCGTCCCTTTCGTCGACTTCTGCCGAACGTGCTGTTCCTGTTTGCTTCCCGTTGGTGGCGACGTTGAGCGCAAGGTCGTGCGGAGTGTCGTCGCGGTGTGGACTAGCCATGATCGTGGAGGTTTGGTGAAACTTTTGGTTTTCTGCTCGGAGTAACGGGGAAGTTTCAGTTTCCCACAGACGGCGCCACTGATCTGTCCTGATCAGAAGGGGATCACGGACTGGCCACACTCTGTTGGGCTGCTACCTGTTCGCCGGTGATGAGGAGGAGAAGGGGGGTGTACCTGCAAGACACTCTGATGCCAAAGTAAGAAGTTGGGCAGAGTGGAAGCAACAATACAGAAAAAGGGGCAAGAAGAGTTACCTGACCCTCTTGAGGAAGAGGGTATTTATAGAGAGACCCCGGCGCTGGGCCAACGGTCATTTGAGGTGGGCTGGATGACCAGGTCCAACCCTAATGACTGCTAGGGCTTACGTGGCGTAGTGAAGACCAGGACGTGGTCTTCGCCCTAGTTCAACCGCTCCTAGATCTCCGGAAAGTGGGTTTGACCTGCTCTTTCGGAGGTAGGCAGCTGGTTGATGACGTGTCCCGCGGAGGGGAGCACGTGGAGAACGTGCGCCGAGCACGTTGTTCTCCCCGCGGAGGGGGAGCTCGCGAGATACCCCGGAGCACGTTGTTCTCCCCGCGGAGGGGAGGGACCATGGCCGCGCTTTTGTGAGCCGGGGACGGTTCTGCTCGTCCGGTGTGGTGGATGATGAAAGGGTGTTGGGACGTTGCTCGTGTTCGGCGGCTTGCCCTGCTCGTCTTGAGGGATGCACGTGCCCGGCGTGCCCGATTCGCTTGTTGGGTCGTACGCGGTATTGGGCCTGCCGAGGTTGGGCCCATACCGGAACATATATATATATATATATATATATATATATATATATATATATATATATATATATATATATATATATATATACCTCTCTCTCTCTCTCTGTATATATATATATATATATATATATATATATATATATATATATATATATATATATATATATATATATATATATATATATATATATATATATATATATATATATATATATATATATATATATAAAACTATAATAGAAAACTACTATAATGTGATTTAGTCGGTTTTAGCTTCCTATTATAAGCCCATCTTAATGGCGCAGTCACATTGTCCCATTTAATCATATTTGTACCTAAAAAACCAACCATAGTAATGAAGTCTTAAATTTCCTTTTTGAAATTACAAATGACCCCTTCTTGTCAAACAAAACATACATGTGATCCCTACTCAGATGACACCGCCTGCAGCGCCGCTAAACTATCCACCGCATTCCATCAACTAGAAACAAATCTTCAATTTCATGCATCTTTGAAATTTTCCATTATTAAGCGATACAAATTATTTTTAGAAAAAAAACTAGTAGAAAATTATAAAGTAAATATACAACCATCTTTCAACAAAACTCGTAATCAGAAAAGAAAGAAAAAAAAATTAAGCACCAGAACTAGCTAATCAACTTATAGAACTTAACCAAAAAAAACAAAACAGTGAAATTAAGCTCGGACAGTTAAAAAGAAAAACAGTTTCTAATTAGAGAACAGAAAAACGAAAGCAAAGCGCTAGGGGAACGGATCGCTCAAGATCCGAAACCCAAACTACCAGATTCAGATCTTCCGATCATACACCACCGCCAGATTTGTACCGATAAAGCTTCCCGAACACATGAAGCGCGGTGACGAAACCGATGAAGCAGAGACTCATAACTAACACCACCGTCGGCGATATCTTCAGTCCAGGTGCATCGTCCGTGTAGAATCTCAGCATGTTGTTGCTTCCAGTGGATCCACCTCCGACACTGGCGGTGCTGTTTCCGGAGGTGAGACGGCGACGGCGCATGCCGGCGGTTGCAGCAGCTGAGCCGCGGGGAGCGACGACGCCTCCACCTCCGGGGCGGGAGGATGTTGAAGTTGATGATTGGGATTGAGATGCTCCTTTAGCCATGTTGCAGTAGTGGAAGAATGAAAGGAAAGTGGGTGAAAAAAGAGTTGAGCGATGTTGTAGAGTAGAGGACGGTTAGACTTTAGTAGCTTACAAATAGTACAAATTGAATAAAAATGAGGTGGCGTTTAGTCCTAATGATTATTAAAATTTCAATGACACATGGACATTTGGGAAATTCTTTTTTTAAGGTTATATGATATTTGGTTAATTAATTACATGGAAAATTATAGTTAATTTAGTTTAAAAATTAGTTGATTCAACTCACAATTTTATAATTTAATTGTGGTAAATAAATCATATAAACTAATCATATTTTTTAACGTTAGTAAAATTAATTATCTATTCAATTAAATTTAACTATAACTATACACATGATTAATCATATATTGTAAAAAAAATGTATATGAAACATTTTTCTTATTAAAATGGTCTATAATACATTCCTATACTATGATCTATTATACATTCCTATATATTTTCCCATTAGATCAAGTAATATTTATAATTTTATATAGCCCCTTCATAGTAAACCATAAAATAGTTGATTTGTAACAGCTTTTTCATCAATTTAAGAATTAAATAGGTTTGAAGTCTCTCTAAAAAATGACAATTTTATTTTAGTTTTATAAAAAATAAAATTAAAAGAATCGTTCTCATTATATTTTTTTTTCACAGTTTTAATCTATGACGTTAAATGTCTTTAACAAAAGATGATACGGAATGTGGATTTAATTGGAAGAAAGCAATTTACAACATGGTATTTTTATCAAATCACTTTTTTTTTTTTCAAATCAGTTTGCTCTAAGTTACTAACTCTTTTTCCCTCAAATTTCTTTTAGTTTGCACACAAATAATGCAGGATCCAACCATCTTTGTTTAGTTTTGTTTTAATATTGTCTTCAAAGACAAACTCAACCAAAATAGCATCAATGTCTTTCTCATCTCTAAAAACTCGAGTTAGACATTTGTGTGGTTGTCATGGTTGTAAATTCAAGCGTTCAAGGTAATTCATTGGAAGAAGACATGATTAAATGTTAAAGTATGAAGAAACTACTCAAATGACTATGTTATAGATGATCAAACAAAATGGTAAATATGGTATCTCATGGTTCATATAACCTTAAGTGCTCAAACTATCTAAAATCAATCCATGTCATATCTCACAAAGCATGTCATTGCATTTTTTACTTAGAAATATTTTTCATAGTTTTCAATTTGAAAAAACCAATTTCTAAGTCAAACAACCGATTACATGGCTATGTCAATCGATTGTCATTTTTCAAAATTGAAAATTGTTTTATAGTCGTCAATTGATTTCATGGGATAAGCAATCAATTGACTTTAGTTAAAATTTCAATTTTTTAACTATTAATAGAAGTAATCGACTGTCTATTGATCGCGACTTTCTGAGTCTAACCGAACTAACTGCAAGTGCACAGTCTATCGCGTAGTAATAAAGATATCGATCCCACAGGGACTCGTAATCAAACTAGTGTTCTCGGGTGTTACTTTGTTTAGCTAGGTTGGATATGGTTTAAGGGTAAAGATGCAAAAGTAAAGGCTAAATTAAAGAAAGGCTAAAAGGTTTCTTAGAATATTAATACGGGGAATCGGTATGCAATGACTTAGTTCTTCGAGGATTCGATAAGTTACCGGGGTGGTTTAATAATTTCAAAATGGTTTTTAGAAGAAAATAACGGTTTAAAGACCTTTGTCTCACGTTGGTTGTTGACGCTAGTCGCAACTCTAAGGCGGAACGTATGCTTTCGCTATCCCGTTCGGGGTTTAAATTGATTTTTGAAAACCATTGAGTTCTAATCTCTTTTAAAGTGTTTTCACTGTATTTAAAATAGATGCCTAGTTTTTACTATCTGGTCCTAACCTCAGCTTTCGCATGTCGGTTCATACCTTAATGAATCTCTCACTGTCGTGGCGAGATTACTTTTAAATAAATTCTCGTTGTCGCGACAAAGTTTAGTTTAACAAATTGGATTAAAAACTATGGCCGGAAACAAGTTTGAAAAAGTGAAAATACGCTAGTATTTATCGAATCTCGTCCTACTAATTCATTACATACCGATCGGTATGGTTTAGCTAGACATGAATCTTAAAGCAAGCATAATTGAATTAAAATAACAGAACATGTAAACATACATTATAAAGTAAATGGAATTAATTAATAATAATGGAACCTGTAAACAACTCTGCTTTGGCACTCGGATAATCTCCCACAATGTCGGCAGGATTACTCTGGTGATGATTAACGTACGGAAAGTTTAAAGAACAAAAATTTCAACTGAACTCTTGAAAGAAAATAAAGGAAGAGAAACAAAGCAGAAACAAGAATGGCTTTCTGTAGTAAATTGGGTAGCACTTCGTGGTCTTCAACGCGGCTCCCCTGGTTCAGTCCTCAAGCTCTCCTTTTATAGTGAATGCTTCTTACGTGAACTGCCTCTGGAAGTGCAATTGAGGGTGAGAAAATCCAGGGAGTCGTGCTTCTGTTTTTGGGTTTCTGTTGCACGTTCTCAAAAGTGGACGTTGAGTTGATTTTACAAGTGTGACGGTCGTAAGGAGTGCATGACGTCCGTGGAGCTCATGACGTTCGTGACGTTCATGACGGTCGTCACACACGTGACAGTCGTAAGGGACCTGTGACGATCGTCATATCAGCAAAATTCATTTCTCTTAATTCTTCGTCCTTTTTCTTTTGTTTTGTGTCTTCTAGTACTTGTTTTCCTTGTCTTGCTTCATTTGAGTATTAACTTCGTAAACCTGCAAAATACTTAACAAACGATGCGGAGAAGGTCTGAAATCGGAGTGAAATCGACCATTAGTAGTATAAAATTATGGCATTTAATATATACGTTTTCGCGTTATCAAACTCCCCTAAACTAGAATCTTTGCTTGTCCTCAAGCAAAAAGCGTAAGAGTTGAGACGATGCAGCTACACGATGCGTTCCTTTGTGTTTATCAAAGTAGCTTCAGAGGCGCTGAGTCGGGAAGTCGGAGAGGATTTATAACAACACGCATACGACAGTGACACTAAGCGGTAATGCTCTCGAAGGCCTCCTTCTTATACGAGCCGGTTCCAATCATGCTGCTGTAGCTCGGCGTAAAGTTCATTGTACCAAGTTTTACCCAGTTTCGTTCCAGCGCAATCACATTAAGCCTTTTACCTCTTTGCACGCACGTAGTGGAATAGCCTGTTAGTGATTTCGGTCTTTTCTTTCTACGGGGTCTGGTGCACGAGTGCGGTACCCTATGATATGTCCACTTTGTAAGTTGTGGGGGATCGAACTGTAATTCCCCCTACCAAGTCCATAACCAGAGACCTATGGACCAACTGACAGAGAACTTCTTTTCTTTATGAGCTTTTTTTCTTTTTGTTATTCCGAGATATCAGATGTAAATAATCACTACATGGCTGCGGAGCAATTCTTTTCTTTACGATCTTACTGATCACTTATTTGCATCGGCTTTCCACGTGGTATGTGCTTAAGGCGGTGTTGACTGCTTGTATAAACTACTAAGGGCTTCGCTTGGTGCTCGAACCTGAGGCTTTGGTACAGTAGGTAGTGGAACTGACTCGCATAAACAGGAGGTCTAAGGTGTCAAAGCGGTATGGGTATCTTAGCAATCGTTCTCGTGGTTCCTTGACTCGGCCTTAAACTTGGCGCATCGGATGTTTGCATCGGTTTTTGGAAAAGTTTTTGTATAGCTCGAGTAAAGCAGATTAAGCGGGGGAAGCTCTCGTAACGGAAAAGAATATAAAAATTGTGATTTATTGAACTGAATTGAACTGAATGGATTAAAATAATTGAACTGAAAATAGAGTACATATTGGAATTAAAGTGTCGCTCCCACACCATCTCAAGCAGTGTCCTCACTGCTTTGAAACGAATCTGGAAGGTGTACAACAACAAAAAATGAAAATGCAATAAAGAAAAGTGCACTACTCTCTGTCTCGTCCTCTTCCGTGATGTCGTCCTCCTCGGGTCGTGGGGTGTAGAGCGCCGGTGTGGAAGATGGCGTCGCGTAGGTCGTCCACATGGACGTTTAGAGCGGTCATCTCATCTACTACGTTGTTGAGGCGTTCCCCTTGGGCTACCAACAAATCGATCACCTGCTGGTGTTGCTCTTAGTGGCGACGTTCGAGCAGGGTTGATGTCTCGTTCTGTTGCCAAATGCTGCGAAGGATCTCTTCATTAGTTGATTCGATCTCAGGACGGCGGAGACGAAGGGAGGAGGGGCCTTCAGGAGGTGGTTGTTATGGAGCATCAGCCTGAGCAGCTCTATCCAATTCTTCCTGTACCTCATCAACGGGCACTTGAATATTCTCTTGAGGTGCTACAGCATTAGCCTCTGGTGTCGCTAGGTCAAAGAGCCAGTTGGCTCTGTTCTGAGGGTGAGCACGGTCACGACATGGTAGGATGATGCTGCGGATGGTGCGGTTGCAAACCACCGGATGATATCTTCTGTCGGCTCGTACCTTGATGAGGTGGGAGGAATGGTAGTAGTCGATATCAAGGAAGACAGGAGGCAGGGACGGGAGGTCCTGGAGGCAATTGCCGAGGTCGAGGGACACGGCAATGGAAGTGACGATACCTCCGAAGTAGAAAGGCTTTGAGCCTCGACCACAGTTTGCCTGGATGTGGGCCAATAGAAATGGGGCGGCGTTGATGGCTTCGGGAGCAAAGACGCATTGCAGAAAGAACAGCTCCTTGGAGTTAACCTTGTGGTTGCTATCTCATGCAAAGATAGTGTTACCGAGCACCCTGTGAAAGTAGTGGATGGCGAGGTGGTGAATGTATGTGGCATTTAGGCTGTCCCAGTTATCGGCGGTGGTGCCGGTAAGTTGGTTCCAAAGTGCAAAGGCTTCCTGAAAGAAGTGCTCCGAAGGAACACGACAGTGAGTGTCTGCACCATAGTGGAATTGTAGCATCTGAGAAAGCTGAGTTTGGTTGAGCTAATATTCCCGTCTGAACAAGCGGAAACACGCA